CTTCACAGTAGCTAATAAATCATTTCATGTTAAGTGCAATTGGTAATTGAACATTCTTTTAGCAGTATCTTTTGGTATTGCAATATAAGAAGTTATTTTCCTGTCCCCTGATTACTACTGTTTTCCATATCTGCTAGTACCACTTTAATTGCATCATCTTAAACATTTTTAACCAGTCCTGCTGGTATTATACCAACTCCTGCAGCTTTGTTGTTAACAATATTTCTTAGGGCCAATTTAACTGCTATCTGAAGGTGTGACTGATAGCATCTGGGTCTTTCTCTGTTCTACTAGCAGGCTATAGTATGATTTTTACTAATGAAAACAAGAATGTTACAGAAAAAGCATCATGGAAAGTTTGCTATCCTGAATGACAGAAGGACACCGCTGATCCCCTCCAATATATTATTTTCTTCCAGATTGTGGAAAGCTCCTCTAATTATAGAGTGTATTAAATTGTGTTTCTGGAAACTTATAAATTGTGTTCCACTATTTACCATATCAAGTTTCTTTTATTCATATATAGTGACTACGTTCACATATGGTAAGTCATGGTTTGCTTAGTCAGCTAATTAGCACATGTTAAACCAAAATTGAACCATATTATGGCTTTGAGCAATATGTAAACCCTGATAATGAGGCCCACTTTATGTAGTCTATTCACAAATGCCTTTCTGTGAGACAATTCCACATGTACCTTCCATATACAACAGGAACTTGTAGTCAATTGAAGCATGAACCTATATTGTACACATTCTCATACTGGTCACACTATAGATATATGTGTGTGTGTATGTGTGTGTAAAACAATTCTCTTTTGTTATAACAACTTTCTCCCCTAAAACCATACGTGTACAAGACAAGAGAACCTGGAATTGATGGAATGCTACTACAACATTAGGCCTAATGAGAGAGAATATATGAAATGTATGAGGGACTATGGATGGACAGAAGACCTACTTCCACACTAAGTGAGAAACAGCTAGTTATCTAATGCTTCAACATAGTGAAGAGGAAACTGCTCTCACTACTTGAGATAGACCAACTACACATTACTTCCCAGACTCAAGAAGACCTGGAAGAACAATTGGATGTGCAGTCAACACCTGAAGCTGCAACATCACTGCCATCCCCTCCATTACAGAGCACAGCAGCAGATATAACGCATAAGATCATGGATAAACTAGCTACAGTCAATCGTTGAGACTGATTACCAAAGTTCAGTGGAGAAGTACCATTAGATAGTATGCAAGAAGGTGCCAATACAGCCCTCACAATAATCCCTACTACCACCATAACTCAAATCAATGAACTGGTATACATTACAACCGCTGCAATCCTGGAGATGCTTGGCTACGCGTTCAAGAACAGCAGTACACCCTCCCCCCCCCCAGAAAATGAGGCTGGAAACTAAGATCTAAGCAACTCAGAGAAGTTAGTTAGCTGGTGGAACAACAGAAAGGTGTGGAGATTAAGGATCTCAGCTACTGAAAAAATACAAGGACCTGACTCCATCTGAAGCCCTAGAAACTGGTAAACAAAGGCTCACAGCACTGGCTATCAGGCTAAGGAGATACACTAGAGAAGCAGAGGCCAAGAAAATAAATGCCCTGTTCTCCATCAACCATCAAAGGTGTACTCCCAACTGCAGCGCAACAACACAATAACAGCAGAGCCACCAACAGTACTGGGAGAACATATGGGAGAAAGAGAAGACACATAACACCAGTGCAAAGTGGCTGCAGGACCTGAAAGCAGACCATAGCGATCTCCAGGAACAGGAACCAGACACGAGTAGCAGGTATCCAACGGTGAGTCAGGAACATGAAGAGCTGGACAGCTCCTGGCCCAGACATGATCCATGCCTACTGGCTAAAGAAACTCACAGCAGTGCATGAACACCTAGCAGCACAGATGAACTGCTAGCAGCAGTGTCCCATCCAGACTGGCTAACACTAGGAGGGACAGTGCTGATTATGAAAGACACCCCCCCCCAAGGGAACAGCACTGGCCAACTACTGGCCAATAACCTGCCTCCCCACCACATGGAAAGTCCTATCAGGCATCATAGCCTCCAAGCTACAGGACTATATGGACCAGTACATGAGCGCAGCTCAGAAGGGCATTGGGAACAACACCAGAGCTTAAAACACCAGTTCTTCATAGATAGAACAGTTGCCTAAGACTCAAGGTCTAGACAGACAAATCTCAGCACAGCCTGGATTGACTATAGGAAACCCTACAACGCAATGCCATACACATGGATCTGTGAATGCCTGGTGCTATACAAAGTCAACAGGACACTAGGGACCTTCCTCAAGAACTTAATGGGACTGTGGAAGACAACACTGGAAGTCAACTCAAGATAGCTTGCACAAGTGGGCATCAAGTGTGGCATATACCAAGGTGATGCACTGTTCCCGCTGCTGTTCCCCATAGGCTTGAACCCCCTCACCCAGTTAATCACAAGGGCTGGATACAGATATTAAGTTTACAAGTGGAACTACCATCAGCCACCTCCTCTATGTGGATGACATCAAGCTGTATGCTAAGAGTGAATGAGATATTGATTCACTAATCCACCTGACACGGATCTACAGTGAGGACACTGGGATGTGATTCAGACTGGAGAAGTGTGGCCAGATGTAGTAAAGAGATGGAAGGTAGTTAAGACCAATGGGGTGGAACTACCAGTGGGCCACATAACAGACATAGAGACCAGCTACAAGTACCTTGGTATCCCACAGTCACATTGGAACCACAATGAGGCGGCAAGGAAGACAACAACATCCAAGTATCACCAAAGGATAAGACAGGTCCTGAAGATTCAGGTCAATGGGAAGAACAAGATCCACGCCATCAACAGGTACACCCTGCCAGTCATCAGATACCCTGCCAATATAGTGAGCTGGCCAAAGGAGGATATGGAGGCTGTCAATGTGAAGACCCAGAAGCTCCTCACAATGTATGGTTTCCACTCCAAGTCACACACCCAGAGACTGTACGCCAGCCAGAGAGAGGGAGGGCGGGATCTGGTGAGTGTCCAAGCCAACGTCCTGGATGAAACCCAGAGCATCCAGGAGTACATCAGTAAGATGGCACTCAAACATGAGCTGCTGAAAGAATGCCTGAGACAGCGGCAGACATGGAAGGAAGTATAAGCAGAGGAAGTACCGTGGCAAGACAAGACCCTGCATGGGATGTACCATCAACAGATAGCTGAGGTGGTTGCCACTGGGAAATCCTACCAGTGGCTGGAAAGGGCTGGACTAAAAGACAGCACTGAGGCACTGATCATAGCTGCACAAGAACAGGCACTAAGCACCAGTTCTATAAAAGCAGGATTCTACCATACTAGACAGAACCCAAGGTGCAGACTGTGCAGAGAGGCCTCAGAGACAGTCCAACACATAGCAGGGTGTAAGATGCAGGCAGGAACAGCATACACTGAATGGCATGGGCAAGTAGCTGGCATTGTGTACAGGAACATCTGTACAGCTAGACCCTCCTAAGTCCAGATGGGAATTCCATAGAAGG